TATCTCTAAATTCAAAGTTTATCTGTATCATTTATGGCTAGAAAATTTCTGATAACCGTCTCAAGGTTTTTAAAATTTTCTTTTGCCTTTTTAAGCACTTTCAGGTCTCAGCAAACTTGTACTAACTGGCACCAAGATTTTCTAAAAGTCAATGGTATTCTAATTCAGTGCTGCTATCCATTTCCAACAATCATTGTTATAAGGAATATCTCATACTTCAGCAATGCCAGTACACAGTTCCATACGTTAGGAATAAAATTCTAGTACTTTGAGGTCAACACAGCAATTTATGGGCAGTTTTAATATCCATCCATTAACACCCTATGAGTTGTGAATTAGGCCCACTGACCTCTGCAATAAAATCTCAATGTGCACTTATCATACAATGCTTTGTGCCAAAAGCATGCTGATTCAATTGGTGCTAGCAGTGTACAGATTCAGCAAAACAGTGAGTTGTAGAAAGTTTGACTGCGATAATTATCTTTCAATGTCCGGGAACAGAAGTGAAACAAAACATGGTTTTCTGATAAGAGAAAGACTAGATTTTGTGTTTTTCTTATTTAATTAATTAAAGACAGATTTTGTACTTCAGAGCTATGTTACTAATTAAAATCATACAACAACCTAACAAACCAGGAACAATTTCAAAACAAAAGCTTGCACAATCTCAAAACAAAATAAAACTGATAATATTGACATGGACAGAGTTTATACGTTTTTATGTTTTCTATGATCAACGTATTTTCAGGTGTGAAGTTAATGTGAAGTTAATGTCACCCTCTGAGTGATTTGTCCCAACTCAACTAAATTCTAGTAGCAAGTTTTTGTGAATTTAAAAATGAAGATGATTAATTATTCTCCTTAGTTTGCCCTAGAAGCTTTGTTATATGTGACATTTAATGCACAAGAATTAGATACAGATGAGAAAAGAGACATTAGAACTTCATGTTGTAATGATTTCAATCTTTTTCAGGCCAGCAGTTTCTTAGAAGAATTGATATTTTAACTAGAGTGATGGACTTGTATAAGCAAACAATTTTCAGTAAGCTATGAGGTTTTATGCAGTTGAATTGTTTAGAATTTAGCTATCAGGTGAACTTGAAGTAGGAATAAGCCGGGGGAGAATCTTTCTGAAAGTGTCATTATATAGCTTTTTTACTTTGGCTGTGCATTGGGTTTGCAACTAATTATATTGCTTTATGGATGAGATTTCGGGTGGTATCTCTCAGTGTTAAACTGACTTAAATATCATCTCTTAAATTTTAAAAGCATGGCTGTTCCAATCATGTGACCATCATAAATCCAAAGTCCTCTTTCCAAGAAAAGGTAGTGGGTTGGGCTTATAAATCCTATGTTGTAGCCTTTCACATTTTTGAGAAAGCCAGCGGCTTTATGTTTGAAATGAGGAGCCATCACGATATAACAAACGGCTGATGAGATTCGTTGTATATTTATCTAAAACCCATTGAGTTTCAATGTCTTTATTGTCTATGGTGAGCAGGAAGCCAAATTGACTGGTGTCTCAGTCTTGCTGGAGATACAATGGAACATCAATTAGACTGGATGCAACAGCAGTGTAACACCATGCAAAGGCATACATGACTCATTCTATAGCCTGGAGCAATGTGCTCAAATTATGAGTGCTGTCTTCCTTTGAATACAATGAACTACATTCCCTTAACATGACATTCACAGTGTTAGCACATTCACAGTGTTAGCACAGCAGTTGCTTGAATGGATGATTGTTGTATCTCAACAGCGAGCTTCAATTAACCCAACAAAAAGTCAAAGGTCAACCTAGGGCAATGGAGGTTAATGTTCTAAGAGCATCTCAACATTGGCATCATTTTCAACTCCCCAGGATGACACCCAGCAGAAACACAGAGCTGACTGTGTGAGGTAGATTTCCAATTATCCCTAAGTGAAGATGCCAGCCACCATGCTCTTTAATACCATACAGAATGAAGATTTAGCATCCTGTCTCCACCTCCAGTAAGATAATGCTAGGGACAGGGTTAGCCACAAATGGAATGTCCTCAAGCACAGGGCATGTGTCAACTTGATTACATTGGGTGCACCCTGCTTTAATTTCAGATCACTTTGTTAACAAGTCCCAGGGCCAACTATTTTCAGCTGCTTCATCAATGTCCTTCCCTCCATCATTAGGTTGGAAGTGGGAATGTACACTGAAGATTACCCAATGTTCAGCACCATTCATGACTCCTCAAATACAGAAGTGGACCATGTTTAAATGGAACAAGATCTGGACAAAATCCAGGCGTGGGCTGACAAGCAGCGAGTAACATTCACACCACACAAATACTAGTCAATGATTCTCTCCAACAAGGAACAATCTAATCACCATTGTCTGTCATTCAATGGTATTACCATCATTGAATCACCCACTGTCAACATACTGGGTGTTATTATTGACCAAAAACTCAACTAGACTTGCCACATAAATACAGTAGTTATAAAAGCAGGTCAGAAACTATGACTAGAGGAACACAGCAGATCAGGCAGCATCAGAGGAGCAAGAAAGTCAATGCTTCGGGTCAGGCCCCTTCATCAGGATTCCAGAAATGTCGACTTCCCTGGTCCTCTGATGCTACCTGACCTGCTCGAGCTCCACACTGTATCGAATCTGACTTCCAGCATTTGAAGTTCTTGCTATCTCCAGAGACTAGGAATATTGCAGTAAGTAACTCACCTCCTGACTCTCCAAAGTCTGTCCTGCACCTAAAGATACAAGTCAGATATATGATGGAATATTCCCCACTTGCCTGGATGGGTACAGCTCCTACAACACTCAAGAAGCTTGACACCATCCAGGACAAAGCAGCCCTCTTGATTGGCACCACATCCACAAGCATTAATTCACTTCAACACTGAAGCATAGTAATAGCTGTGTGTACTATCTACAAGATGCACCACAGAAATTCCTTAGACAACATCTCCCAGATCCACAACCACTTCCATCTAGAAGGACAAGGGCAGAAGATACACGGGAACATCATTACCTGCAAGTTCTCTTGAAGCCACTCACCATCCTAACACTAACAAGCCAGTCTTGATGATAGACATTGACGTCCCCACCAAGTGTACATTCTGTTCTCTTGCTACCCTCAGTGCTTCCTCCAAATGGTGTTCAACACGGAGGAACACTGATACATTAGCTCAGGAAAACAATCAGCGGTAATCAACAGGACACTTCCTTTGTCCTTACGTGACCTGTTGCCATGAACTTTCACGAAGTCTGGAGACAATGTTGAGAACTTCCAGGGCAAAAAAGTCTCAATTGTTCCACTGCCTCTGTTCCTACCAGCCTGCGGGACAAAACATAACTTGGAATTTCGATGTTGGTGTCTGGGGCATTGTCTGTAATGTAGGACTATCACTACAAGTATGACTATATCAGGCTGTAACTTATAGTATATATATAGGAACAAAAACAGTTGCTGGAAAAGCTCAGTAGGTCTGGCAGCATCTGTGAAGGAAAAAACACAGTGTTAACGTTTTGGGTTCGATGATCCTTCCTCAGAACGGTTCTGAGGAAAGGTCTCCAGACCTGAAATGTTAACTCTGTTTTTTTCTTCATAGATGCTGCCAGACCTGCTGAGCTTTTCCAGCAACTTTGTTTTTATTCCTGATTTACAGCATCTGGAGTTCTTTCAGTTTTTATCAGGCAGTTATTTGACTGGTATGTGTGATAGCTCTGCCACTGATGGCACAAGCTCATAGATGTTAAAAAGATTAACTTTATGTAGTTGACAGGGCCATATTTACCATTGTTGCTTGCTGTGCCTTAATGGAGAGCTGGTGACTTGTTTGGTCTCATTACTTTCTTTAGGATTTGTCACAGTTTGACAACAATGGAGTGCCTTGTTAGGACATTTCAGAGGGGAGTTAATAATCACACACATTCCTGTCATGGTCGAGTCACACATAGGCCTGACCACATAAGGGTGGCAGATTTCCTTCTGTAAAGGATGTCAGTGAAACAGATGGGTTTTTACAACAATCAACAGTGGTTATGTAGTTGCCACTAGGTTAGGATTAGATTTCACTGAATTCAAATTTTACTATTTGCCCTGGTGAGATTTGAACCCATGTCCTCAGAACACTTGACATTATGACTATGCCCATTATGTTCTGGTTATTAGTAATGTCGCCTACAAATGTCCTGCCAAATATGACAGTATATTAAAGTACTGTGCTTTGGTATTTAAATTTAAAACAATTCTGTATCTCATGAACTGTTTACTCCAAGTAGTCCAGTCTCATATT